AACGCAGCATCAACAAACGAATGAAAAATGACGATGAAAATATGGATGAATCGAATAAGCAAAAAGGACGAGAAAAGGAAAAAAAGAAAAAAAAAGAAACACACAAAAAGAACTGGGATGTTTTGTATATATTCCTATTTTGTTAATAGATAAATTTTAAATATGCCGGTTTTATTTATTTAATTTTTTTGTCGAGTGTGTTTTCCTCCTCTTTGTTTTGTGTTGAGCGGTGAAAATGCGCATGCGCCGCAGCGGCGCGCCGGCAGGAGGATGGAAAGTGGCGACACTCGTAACAACAACGATTAGGAGACAACTGCTAGCAAATGGGGCGTGTTTGTATGTATATGTGTCTGCGTGTGCGTGTGCGTGCGTGTGTGAAGGCGGTGTGATGCGCCGATAGCCCAAAAGGGGGAAAATTGTGGCGAAGAGGGAGTGAGGCGGTTGTGCGCCCTTTTTTTTTGTTTGTTTTTATTTGATTTGGCCGCCCGCTGGAGGCGGCAGGCGCTCAGGTGCGAGTGGCGCTGTGGGCGTGTGACTCGCTTGGCAACCGACCTGGCGATGATGTTCCTCGTCCGCCCCCTGCGCCCCCGGGCAGCCGGCGAGGAGGATGGGCTGCGACGACGAAGCGAACAAGTGGGGCCGAGGATACCAACGTTTGCTTTTCTCCTGCTCCCTCCTTCTTTCTTTCTGCTTCTTTTGCTGCTGCTTCTCTTGAGGAGGCGGCGTTTCAGCCGGGTGCCGTGCCCTCCCCCGCGGCGCAGATGTGGACACACACGTGCGCATTTGCGTCGGTGGCGTGCCGTGCGCGTGGCAGGGCTGACCGCCACCCACCCTGCACCGCCTCTCCCTCTTGCTCTGTTTGTTTGTTTGTTTGCTCCGCCGTCCACACGGACGCAAAATGCGATCCACACGCAGAAAAGCAAAGGCAAAAGGAATACCGCTATATATATATATATATCTATAGCTATAACTATAAGGGGGGAGGGGGTGGAAATGTCGAACTGCGCAGCGAGCGACTACGCGGGCGTCGACTCCGATGACGGATCGTTTCACCTCATCGACCCCGAAACGGGACTCACGGTGGTGCGGCGGCGCGTTGCGGGTGAGGCGGCGCAAGACGCTGCGGAGGGGGAGCCGCAGACGGAAAGTCAAATGAGTGTCTTCTCGCGCTCCAACTGGAGTGTGGTGGCAACGACGCAGCAGGATGACGAGGGCGGCTTGGCGCAGCGGCCGTCTACCGCGCCGCAGCCGTCGTTGTCCGCGTATTCGCCGTCGTTTTCGGCGTTTCGCGGGTTGGAATCCACCTCGCCCTCGCACGCTGAGCAGACCGCAGAAGAAGCGGCCACGGAGGCCTTGTGCGAGGTTGTTCCTCCGGCCCCGTCGCGCCGGACGCGAGACGGTGATAGTAGCAGCAACGACCACGACGGGCAGAACAACGAGAACGGGCCGCGGCCGTCCGTTTTGTATGCCTTTGCCGAAGCACCGCCACAGTTGACCCACGCAGGGAATAGTGAGAAGGTGAGCGCCTCCGCCACTGCGTCTTCACGGGACAAGGTACAGGCGCAGAACTCCGTCCTTCGGGCGCAGCTGGCGGAGGCAGACAGAAATGGTGCTCAATACATGCGGCTTCACGAGCAGGCTAAGGAAGAGTTGCAGAACATACACCAGACCTTGTCGCTACTTATTCATGGTGGCAATAATGAGAATGAAGTGAATGAGCGTCTTGGGGGCAGAAATGCAGATGCATGGCAAGAGCAAGAGTTAACGACTGGGCCTCAACCCTTCTTTGGCAGACCAACCTGCCTGCAGCAGTTGTTGAGGGTGATGGGGCTTGAATCCATTCTTCCAGTTTCAAATTACCGTCGAAACGGCTGGCGTGCTAACCGGCGTCAAAAGCGGCAGACGCTTGCAGTTGAAGTGGCCGCTGCGTCAGCTGAGTGGCGGCATCACTTTTCCTCCGCAAAGTGGCATGCCCGTAACGGCAGGGCCGCGCTGGCGATGGAGTTCACCCTGTTGGCGATCTCCGCAGACGGGTTCGATGCGTGGCGTTCGCTGCTGGTGCACGAGGCGAACTGGAACCGTTTGGGGGGCAGCGACCGGCAGCGCTGGTACTGCCTGGTGGCGGCCAAATTGTCCGAGCTGCTGGACAGGCGCGGCGGCGCCCTTACAGCGCGGCTGGGCGAGCAGAACGGCGCGGTTCGTCTGGCGGGGGAGGAGGCGTTGAATGGCGAGGGCGGCAGCGACAGACATGCGCAGCAGCAGGAGGAACAACAACAGGCGGCGCCGACGGATCGGTGGGAGCAGCTCACCCCCGACCTCCTCGCCTCCTTTCTCCGGCGCATGAGTTGGAACTACGCGGAGGAGAAAACGGCGAGCGCGCTGTCGCGTGCGGCCAGAAACGCGGAGACGCCATCGACGGAAGCTTGTCTGCCATCCCATGAAGACATTGGTGCGGCTCTGGAGGGTCTCTTGTCGGCCTCCATCGCAGCGTTTCCCAGCAGTGCGGCGTTGTTCTACCTGCTGGCCTCCCTGCGTGCGATACAAGGCCGCGAAGAGGAGTCGCTGCAGCTGCTGAGGGAAATGATGCGGATAGACCCCCTGCACCTGCTGCGCGAGGGATGTATATGTAATCGCTAGATCCAGTGCTCTGGTTTTTCTTTCCGTGTTTGTTTTGTTTTGGTTTTGTTGTTGTTTGTTTGTTTTTTTTGTCTTTGCTCATTTGTTTCTTTCTGGTCGTTAACCTAGTTTGTAGCTTCGTAGTCTGTGCAACGCCGGCACACTACACAAATTTGCAGCATACGCCTTCAGCGTATGCCCTGTCAGCTCCCGGCTTTACTCCCCACACTGTTTTTTCTTCTTCTTTTTTTTGTGCTTTGGTGCCCGCCCGCGCGTTTTGTTTTCACTGCGGCGGATTCTTAGGTGGGGGATGTGGGGCACGTTGCCTCGTCTTTGCGAATATTCTCTTTCTTTCTCGCTTTGCTTTTGTTAGTTACTTTTTTTTTTTTGCTTCCATGGTCGTTCCCTCCCTTGTCTTTTTGTTTTTGTTTTTTTTCTTGTCACGTGGACGCACGCGAGCGCCCGGGCCCGGCAGCGAGGCAATGCCCTCTCCGCCCCCCACACGCTCGGGCAATGTGCAATCCCTCTTTGCGTCGTCCTCTTATTTCCTTCTTTTCCTTCCCCGTTGCTGCCGTGGTTGCAATGCGGCAGGGCGCTGCGGGGAGGGCCGCTCGTATCCGTCTCTCTGTTTTTTCCCGTTATCTGCGCGTAGGGTCGCGTCTTCGCCCCATATCCTTCTTTCTTTGTATATTTGCGTATGTGCGTCGGGGCAGGTGGGGGTGCGAGGGCGATGTTCGAGCTTCTTCTGGAGGTCGCGGTTAGCATTTTTATCTGCGCCGTCTTGGCGTACCACGTCTTCCTCAGCGTCTCCGTGGAGGAGCGCGCCGCGGGCGAGGAGGCGGGCGCCGCCGCGGGGGACGGCGGCGGCACTCGCCACGCGGGCGGCGCGGGCGGCCACAACCTGCGGAGTCCACCGCCGCTGGAGCGGAGCCGCAGGTGCGAGGGGGCGATGTGGTGCAACGTGCTGGGGCGCTGGGCGGCGCTGCTCGTGCTGGGCGGCGGCTCCATCGACAAGGATGTCTGGACCGACCGCATCGCCTACTTTATTGAGAAGGGCGCAAAGCGGCTTGACGGGGCGCTAAAGCGGCGCGGGAACGGAGGAGGCGGCGGCGTCGCGGGCAGGGAAACCGGGGAGCGAACGTTGCGCGTGAGCGCCGACAGTCTCCGAATGCTGCGCCTTGAGCTCGGTGGCGGTGGGCCCCTGAACGGCGCGCCGAGCCCGCAGCACAAACAGCAGCAGCAGCAACAACAACAACAACAGCAGCAGCAGCAGCAGCAACCACAGTACGGCGCGACGCAGCAGGTCCCTGGGCTACACCACGCGCGTACAAACAGCGACGGGGTCCGCGCAGGTTGCGTCTATTCCGAGTCGTCCGAAAGCGCTGGGGCGACGTCGTCACCGATCGGTGTCGTGTTGCCGCGCATTGCGTCTGCTGGAATTGTCTCGCTGGAGGCCCCGTACAACGCATCTTCGTATGAAACGACGGTAGAGGGGGGCGCAGCGGCTGCAGCAGCAGCCACAATGCCAATGGAAGCTCGACATTCGCTGCGGTGTTTTTCGGTGCCACTCATATACGAGGACCATCACTTTGCGCTGCTGCTGCTGTGCAATATTCCCCTGCTGCTGGCACTGCCGCTGGAGCTGAAAATTCCGGCGGATGTGTTGACGCTTCGGTGTGCCCTGTCCGTGCGTCGGGTTGTCTTCGACGGCGTGCTGTACGCCGCCTTTTACGGCAACCTGGTGGAGCTTAGCTTTGCGAGAGAGCCGCAATTCACCGCCTCCTTCGAGGTCTCCTCTGCGAAGGGCCTTCGCCGACAGCAGCCGCAGCCGCAGCCGCAGCCGCAGCGCCCGCACCTCCCCCAGGTCTCGCCCAGCGGCAGCGTCCGAGGCGCGGCGGGGGGCGAGACGCCTGCCTCCCTGCCGCCGCTGCCGCCAGCCACGGCCTGCAACCCCTTCAGTGTGGGGCACCGCTTCAGGGAGAAGCTTCAGGAGATTGTCGAACTGGCGGTGAAGCGGTCCGTGCAGTCGATCACGTATCCCTGTGTGCTGCAGGGCGTGGTGGGGGAGGCGAGCCGCAGACCGGCAACAAATGGCGGGGCCGCCGGCGACGATCTTTTTGCGTCAACTCACGACGGCGGGCTAGTGACGTGGTCCTTGGCGAAGGCAACGCTGCCGCTCTGCTGCTGAGGAACTGTGCAGAGCCGGCGCTTGGGTGAGGAGAGGGGTGGAGGCACTATTGTCGCCTGCGTCTCTCCGTGCCCGCGTTGCCTTGGCCTTCTTTTTTATGTGTGTGTGTGGCCATAAGTCATCCCCCACCGTGCGTCGCTAGAGCTGCGCCTGCCCATAGGCCCACATGGCGCCCTCTCTATTGCCGCAGCTGCTTCCTCCTCTGCTCCCTTTCTTTCTTTCTCCCTCTCTCTGCCTGCGTGTGTCTGTGGGAGAACTGGCCCATATGGTATGTATATCTGCTTTTCCTTTTCCTCCACTTGTTCTCGTTCCTTTCCTGCGGCAGCTGTCAGCCAAGCAAAAAAAAAACGAGGTTGTCGCCGTGGCGCCGTGACGCCGTGCAATGAGGGTATACTGCCGGTTCGCGCCACCGTGCGCGCCTGCGACAGGGGCTGAGGAGCAAGAGAGGGGCGATGCACAGGCGTCGCTGCTGCCGCCCCCCATGCTTCTGCTGTCGCTGCGGGGCGACGCTGGGGGCGGAGGCCAAACCGTCACGCTGGCAGACCCACGCACCGGCAGCATGGCCGCGTCTACCTGCCGCCGCGTCTTTCTCCCAGCGTGTCTGTCGCTTGGTGCAGGCAGCACCCCGCCGTCGACGAACGGTGCGCCCCCGCGCACGGCAAAGAGAAAAAACCCACAGGAGGAACTCTTTGACGAAGTTGTCCGTCCCGTGTTGGATGACTTAATTTCCGGCAAGCCATGCACGTTTCTTGCCTACGGGCAGACGGCAACAGGGAAAACGTACACAATGTTTGGGCCCAACGCCGACGGCGACGACAGCGCGTCGCTGCGGCGGCAAAACGAGCTTGGAACAACCACGGGCGCTGAGGCCGCTGCATGTAGGCAGGATGAGGAAGCGGAGGAAGAGGAAGAGGGCATTGTGCCGCGGCTGCTACGTGCCATCTTTGCCGCACCTGGCACTGGTGTTGAGCCGCGAAGCGCAGCCGTCGCTGCGGTGGATTTGTCTTGTTTGGAGGTGCACAACGAATGCGTGACCGACCTGGTGGCACTTTTGCTGCAGCAGCGCTCAAGGAAGGCAGCCCCGCTCGAGAAGAAGGATGAAGGGTGCGGCGCGCTGGACGCGGAGGCGGCGTGGCAGGCGTGGCGGCGGTATGAGCAGCGGGGGCGCCCGGCGGGGGAGCGCGGCGGCTTGTGGGACCCGCCACTCGCGCCGACGGCGCTGTTCGCCACCGCCGCGATGGAGCCGGTGCCGCGAACGCTGACGTTCAAGGCGACGGAAAAGGCGAAGGTGATGCGGGCTGCGTTGCGGCTGCGCTGCGAGTCCGCGGCGGAGTGCGGCGCCCTGCTGCGCGGGGTGCTGGCGCTGCGGAGTCGCAGCCAGACGGAGCGGAACGTCCGCTCCTCGCGGAGTCATTTGGTGCTGCGGCTCGTGCTTCACGGCGCCGCGGCGGGGGCGGGGCCGCTTGGCGAGTCGCTCTTCGTCGACCTCGCCGGGTCCGAGACGTACCGGGAGCCGGCGCGGCTGGCGCACTCCCCCCCTGCGGCGTCCGCCTTCAGCTCGGACCGGCGCGACGGCGGCGGACTGGCGGCGGCGCAGCGCAGCCTCCGCCGCACGTGTGAGATGCGGCACATCAACGTTTCCCTCCTTGCGCTGCGCAAAGTAGTGCGGGCCCTTCAGGCCGCCTCCAACTCCCCCGCCGCCTTGTCGTCGTCTGTCGGGCGTGTCCCGTTTCGCGACAGCGCACTCACCACCATCCTGGAGCCGTTTCTCGTCCCCGGCGCCGCCTCCGCTGTGACGTGGGTGGTGTGCTGCTCCTGCCTGCAGTGCGACTTCCACGAGACCGTCGAGTCACTCCGCCTGGGCGCCGAGGCCTCCGCCACCGCCGCCTGCGTGCAGGTTTGCCCCTCCTTTCCGCCTGCGCGCGTCGCAGCGGAAGTCGGCGTGGCCAGCAGCTATCGAAGCAGCAGCGCAAAGGCGGCGGTGGGCACAAAGAGGCTGCCTCCCGGTAGAAACGCGTCTCAAGCAGACACTGCGGCAACTGGCGCCGTTATTCAACGCGGCCGCGGCAAGACGCTTTCAGCTCCAGCGGCGTCGGCATGGGCTGTGGGGGCGGTGGGTGGTGGCCGTTGCCGATCTGCAAGTGATGCGGAGGGGCGAGACGGTAAGGACGGCGGAGGAAGAGGAGAAGAGGCGGAAGAAGAATTGACGGCATATAAGCTGTACGCACTGCAGCTGCTGGGGCAGTGCAAGACACTCTGTGAACGCTACGATGAGTGTGTGGAAGAACTTGCCCGCACCAAGCAGGTCGTGGCGTCGCGCGACCGCGAAATCGCCCGGCTGCGGAAGGCGTTGGCAGCAAATGGCAGCCAACAAAAACTGTTGGCGGGGTCGCCATTGTCACTGTCATTGCCGATATCCACCGCACCGGATGAGAACCTCCCGCCAGCGCCGCCTGCGTGGCTGCGAAAAGGCGCAATGTCCGCAAAAAGGAACAATATCTCGTCTCTGCTCTGCGGTGGCTGCGCCGTGCAGAGTGGGCCGTCACATGTCATCGCAAGCGAAGCAGTAGCCGGGGTGGTGGCTGCCGCAGAAGAAGAAGTGGCTGCAGCAGCAGCAGCAGCAGAGGCGGATCGGCTCGTGGAAACCATCCTTCGGCGCTGCTGCGTTCATCACGACGCCGTGCCTGTTGCTTGCAAGCCGCTCGAAGCCCCCGTAGAGGAAGACGGGGGCGATGTGTTGTACTCATCGTCGTCCGTTGCAATTACCGCCACTACGAGTGTCGAGGCGGCAGCTCCCTCCGACGGTGGTTGCGGCACGCAAACTCCGCAGCGCACGGAAAGGGGCTCTTCAAGTTTCCCGAAGAAGCAGAATCGCCGCGAGCACGTTGTGTCGTTTGTCTCTCCCAGCAGCCACGGCGCCGTGCCGCTGCTGCAACTGGCGGGGAACCTTCACCAGCCGCGGAGATTTCCTGCGCCGCCGTCGCGCTCTGCGCTTTGCACTTCTTCGACCCGGCTGCAGGGAGGACCGCCGCTCGAGGTCGCTGTTACGGCAGACACACAGACAACCGCTGGGGCGCATGCAGGCGGCGATGTCCGAATTATACAGCAGTTGCTCTTGCGGGGTGCGGCCCTCGTCAGTGGAGGTTCGCCGAAGCCTTTACTGGAGGAGGGGGAGGGGGAGGGAGAAGAATAATGACCCTGGTGGTGCCGGATGCTTAACGGAGCACCAGCTGCGCGAGTTACCGATGTGAGTTGAGCCTGACTTATTTGTTTCTTCGTTTATTTTTTTAGATTGTCTATACTCGTGGTGGACGCCTTCTCGCACGCGCAGGGCGAGGGGTTTTGTAGACTAGACCGTTGCCTGCAATTTCACTACGTGTATTGGGAAGGCAGTTGCAATAAACATTAGGCAGTGAGAGAGACGAGGTGCGTGTGTGTGTGTGTGTGTGGGTGCTTGTTTGCTTGTTTGTTCTTGGGGGCCAGAGGGCTGCGGCGGGGGGTGGAGGTCACCGGGCGTGCCTTTTTTTTTTTTTCCTCGCCTTGGATTTTCTGCCTTGTAGCGTGCCCGCTGCCTAGGCGTGTTTTCTCCTGGCAGCATGACGTTTGTCTTCGAGGCCCGACGTCTTTTCTTTGGCGACGCCCTGGGCCCGCTGCACGGCCCAAGTCCCGTGGACCCCGGCAGCGCGGACGCGGCACGGCTGGAGGAGCTCCCGCGGTGGAAGCGGCGGCTGCTGCCGCACGTGCTGGACGTCGTGCGGCAGTTTTACGACCCGGCCGCTTCCACCGCGGGAGCGGCGGCCGAGGAGCTGCAGGGCTGGATGGTGGCGCTCCGCATCGTGGAGGAGCTGCCGGAGCTGGAAGTGGCCTACGCCCGCGCCCTGGAGTTCCGCGAGCGACAGCGCACGGGCGAGATGACGGAGGAGGAGCTGATGATGGAGGAGCTGCTGCGGGAGCGCATGGGCGGCGACTACGGCTGGGAGGCACGCCGCGACGACGACGGCGGCGGCGACGGCGGCAGTTCGTCCGACGACGCGGATGGGCAGGCCGACGAAGTGGACCTCGCGATGTGCTTCGGCCTGGACGGCGCGGTGGTGAGCATTGGCTCCGCCGACGTGTTTGGCGGCCACGGCTACCATGCGCTGCGGCAGCCGTGACGGTGCCGGTGAAGTAACTGGCTGGAGAAAGACAAACGAAGGCGGCAGTTTAAAAAGAAAACAGAAAAAACCACGTGCATGTATACATGTATGTACATGTGTTAATTTTCTTGCCCTTCTCGTTAAACCCTCACTGCGCCCCCTCTAGGCGAGCCGCTGCTGTTCTGTCTGCCTGCCTGCCGCGTGCGCCGTCCGCGTGGGAGGAGGCTGCGGGGGTGTCACTGGCCCTGTTGCCCTCCTCCCCCTCCCTCCTCGCCCGTTAGTGCCGGGGCCGTGCGTCGCTCTCGACGGCGTCGTGGGGGGCTGACTCAGGCGAAGCCGCAGCCTCACTCACAGCCGCAAAGGCAAACCACAGACAACAACGAAGTAAACAAATAAAATAAAAAAGGAGAGGGGGTGGGTGGGAGCCACGCAGCAGCGGACGACAATAAAGAAGGGGGCCGATACATTCATCGCTCTCTCTCTCTCTC